CCCCCCCCCCCCCGCCTTTTTCTTTTTGACTGCAACACTCTCAAAGGAGAAAATCTGGGTAGTTACATACCTATAGATGGAGATTTGAAAGGGTATTTATCAGGAAGATCAACTCTAACTTTCCATACTCCGCCTTCATATGGTGCTGAAATGAAGTAAAAATGTTCAACATTAGAACTGTGTCTCCAAATTAGAAAATAAGCCTCAGTCAAACATTAAATCCTAATCTCTTTTCTTGTGAATTAACTCCTTCAAATGCCAGGGACCTCTTAGTAGATACTCCACATTCAGATTAATATACTTTTCTTTAAAAGATCCAAAGTTAGAAAATAAGCAAAGATTCATTTTCTCCTGATTCTTTAAAGTACTAAATACTACTCAATTAGTTGGTAAATAATAGCCTATTTCAATCTATCCCACTGCACTAACCCCTAAAATAAAACCCTAGAAACAAAACAAAAACCATTTCCTCCAACCATCCATAACAAAGCCTAGTATTTACAATTCATGTTTAATACTGTCACACAGATATAAAAGAGAAAAGCATATAAGGCAATTATGGTAAGAGTAAGACTTCCTTACTGGTTATGAGTTCAATTAAATTTACTTTTCAGAAACTACACATACTACCATCTGTCTTTGATATTCTCATTGTCTACTAAGGAGTAGAGTAAAAGTCTGTAATAAAAGAACACATACCAACATGGGTACTTACTTCCTTGTGGTCCATAAAACTTCACTACAAATTCATTGAGTCCTCCCAGGATCGTAACCTCATGCTTACTCTCAATGCTAAGATGGAAGGTAAAGGAAATTACACAGACTTTATATTACCTGGGAGAACTAAAGGTGAGATCCCCAAGATATGCCATTTGAAGTATTACCAACATTTGATAAGACACTGATAGAATATAAAATATACTTATCAACTTTGGTTATTTAGAAGGCAATATATACTCTTGTGAAAAGAATATGAATGAGCTTTAGAGGCAGAGAAACTGGTGTTCCAACCCCATGGCTGTTATTTACTAGGTTGGTTAGTTAGCCTAGACAAAATAACGTAAACTCATTTCCCGAGCTTTTGTTCTCTTTGCAAATAAGAAAAACACCACTTCATTGGATTTGTGGGGATTAAATGGGTTAAATTTATAAAATGTATAAGACTGCATTTTGTATATATGTTAATGAAAAATAGGCACTTTATTTTTCTGTGTACTCTCTTCTCCTAATTTATCCCCAGTGAGCCTTTAACATAAGTCCAGTATTCCCTTTAGTCAAATTCAAATACTAAGTAAAACACTGATTATCCTAAACTTGAAATGTTGTGCTTCTAAAATTATGTATTAGGGAAAGTCCCCACAATTTTTTCCCTGGCTTAGAGAATAATCAAAATAATTAGGGATACAACCTTGCTACAAGTAGTACTGCCAATTGCAAAAGACCAGAAATTTTTTTTTCCCCCTAAAATCTTGCCTGCAGCTCAGCTGGCTTGAACAACATGGGGTTAGCCATGTCACCACCAACCTCCACACCACTGAAAAACCACATAGAACTTTTGACTCTCCCTAAATTAAACTACTAATAGCCTACTGTTGACCAGATAACATAAAGTCAGTGAGCGCATATTTTCTGTTACATGTATGATATACTACATTCTCACAATAAAGTCAGCTAGAAAAAAAAAAAGAAATGTTTTTTCAAACTGTTGCAAATTTCCAAAATAATTTTCTACTATATTTATTCAAAAAACTCTCTCTATAAGTAGACCCACATAGTTCAAAGCCCATGTTAAGAGCGAACAGCAAAGCGAAATAAGCCAGGTGGAGAAAGACAAGTATCAAATGATTTCAGTCATCTGTGGAGCATAAGAACAAAGCAAAAACTGAAGGAACAAAACAGCAGCAGAGACTCACAGAACCCAAGAATGGACTAACAGTTGCCAAAGGGAAAGGGACTGGGGTGGGAGGTGGGGGTGGGTGGGAAGTGAGGAAGAAGGGGAATAAGGGGCATTACGATTAGCACACATAATGTGGGGGGGGGGCCACAGGGAAGGCAAGATAGCACAGAGAAGACAAGCAGTGACTCTATAGCATCTTACTATGTTGATGGACAGTGACTGTGGTGGGGACTTGATAATGGGGGGAAATCTAGTAACCACAACGTTGCTCATTTAACTATATATTAATGATACCAAAAAAAAAAAAAAGAACCAACAGTAAAATAATTTTCAACTACTCTCCCCTTCCTTCTAAACTTCCATCCTTCCTGGACTGGCCTCTAGGTTCTGGTGTGCTCTAGGACTCTAATCACAAGGGAATAACACTTTAGTGTTCTCTTCCTCAGAAATTTACCTATCCTGGAGACTCCCACTCTTTTAAGGTGCTAAGATTCAATTATAGAAACCAAACCAATCCATATCAGTACCAGAGAGCGCTACTGGTTTACTATCTGTTTTATGTCTCTGCTTTGTGGTCTAACTCAATAATGACTCTACTGACAGGGAACTTAGGGGTGGGGGCTTTGGGCAGCTGTCAAATCCCACCGTAACATTTAAAAACAAAAACAAAAAACTAACCGGATATGATAGACTAAGCCTGTCTTTCTCAGAGGCACAAATTACATCTTAATTACATGCACTATTATACAACAGGAAAGAAGCCGAAGTAATTTTTAAATGACCTTTTAAATAGAGAAAAATGGTATTTTTAAAGGTTTGAAATTAAGTATTTGGTTCTCCAATCCTGTCCTGTAGGCCACAGAACCGAGAAGCTAGGTGTATTTTTGGCAGTCCTTGATGAATGAGATATTAAATAAGATAATTTAGTCTATGCTAATTTGATGTCATTCTTTTCTAAATGAAAACTATTTTAATAACATGCACCTTGAAAGGATTCAAATAGTAGCCACACTGGAATTGGCTTCATTTCTCACTTGTTCAGAAGACATACACATGCATGCTTTGGTGTACAAAATTCTTCCTGACAATTCACCCTCTGACACCCTGAAAAATATTCTAAAGCTAATGCTAATGTAATAAATAAAAGTATAGCACATTTTATTTTAAAGCTTAAAAAAATACCCTTCTGTTAAAAGTCAAATCTAGTTATAATAAACAAAATTAAATGCCAAACCTTGGGAAAAACAGACTTTTAAAAAAATAATTCCCAAGAATGACACCAAGGCCATAAACCACAAAGGTAAAGATTAGCAGATTGCAAGCATGCACACACATTTTAAGCTTTTATACTGTAAAAGACTTAAGTTAAAACAAGCTAGGAAGAAAAAATAACAGATGACAAAAAAATGTGGATTTTTAAAAAGTGAGTTATTATAAAGCAGTAAGAAAAATTAGAAACACACTGAAACGAAGAGGCCAGAGAAGGTAAGAAAAGTGAAGTAAAATTAAGCTATAAGATGTTCAACTTATCACAGTTTAAAAGTAAGAAATTTTCTACTATAAATTCATAAAGATGAAAAAGAGCTGGATAAAACCTAGTGTTCAATGGAATACAGATTGGTACTCCTGAGGAAAAATTTAGCACTATATTCCAAAACTTAGTATGAATTTTCCTTTATTCAAACTTCACTTCCATGCTAGTGGGCATAAGATACATTTTCAAGCACTTTGGAAAACTGTTGGCATGGAAACACTGACCATACGCATACCCTATGTCCATCAGTGCCACTCCCAGTTGCCTATATTTTAAGCTAAGCTTTGTTCACCAAAACACATTTAAGAACGCTCATATCACTGCAGTTCCCAAAACTCAGGTTACAACCCAAAGGTTCACCAACAATAAAGAGGATAAATTATGGTACAGTAACTCGACAGGAATGTTGCATAGCAATAAAAAACAAATTGCTACACATACATGTGTGAGTCTCACAGATATTATAGCGAGTCAAAGAACCAGATACCAAAGGGCACATATGATTCCATTTATGCACATTTCAAACAAGTTAAATGAATCAATGGTGCTAGAAATTAGGATAGTTGTTACCCTACTGGGGACTGTGCTAATTGGAAAAGGGTTTGAGGGGGACTTCTATGGTGCTGCCGATTACACCTTTATTTACTGTTCCATTCATCACTGAGCTACAAAATGATTTGTGTACTTTCTGGTATATGTTATTGTTTAATAAAAAGTTTACTAAAAGTAAGTGGTTCTGATACATGTGCAGATACACTTACTGGACTATTTGAAATTTTAAAATGGAAATAATCTAAATATTTATCAATAGAAAACTGATTAAATAAATTATAAAGCAGTAGGCTGCTACCAGTATCTACTAGTGTTTACCAGTGCCCTCTCCCAACCCAGGGCTCCTTAATGCTTGTTTCTGCCCAACTTGGGGTATCCAAAAGTAGTCAGCTGGCTCAGACACTGGTGGCTCAGTGGCAGAATTCCCACCTCCCAGAAGCAATCACCCGAATACAGTAGTATAGTTATCCAGTATTCTAATACAGATACATATAGTATAGTACAGTAATAAAGATATCCCAGCCATTGAACAAGACTAAATAAATTCACAAGAATAATGAAAGAACAGAGTAAGAGGATTAAATGAGTTTAACAAAAGAAGTCTTAAACTAATTTTATAATATAAAAAATCTGCAGAGGTAGCATTCCCCATCAGAACTAGTAACAATACTGATCTACAGCAATTACTCTTAATCATTTAAAATTATGAGTTACCCCCAGGGATGTCTCTTCCAGACAACTGAAGATATCTTTTCTGTCCTTTACACAGATGCCATAAATCTTGGTTTCTTCTACACTGTGATCTGTTTGGGATTTAGTCCATGCTTTTATCTACTTTCCAAAGAAGATTTCTTTTCCAGGAATGTTAAAATGAGATTAGAAATCAATGCTACAAACCTCCTCTTTCCCATGATCCCTGGAACAACCTTCATGCCAAATACATTGGGCCTGTCTTTAATTGCACATTACACTGTAAATTAAAGAGTCTGTACAGTCCATTTCATAAGAAAAGCTAAAAGTAAACTGAATGAAACCTTTTAAAACTTCTACCAAGATGGTAAAATGAAGAAGTTGTGCTAAAATTATGCTGTCATGGAATGGTACAAACACTGAATCAGATGGAAAAAAGAATTTAAGTTTAGTTGAAAGAAAAACACTGTATTAAAAATAAGTCATTCCATTACCACGAATGAATGACTTGCCCACAAAAAATAAAAAATTACTTGACTTCTGTTACCATGTGTATTTATGGTAGAGACCATAAGTTTCTTTCTCCTTTCTGCTGCAAAGTCAAGGGCAAGGAAGACAAAAGAGAAGACAGGTTACAATGGCAAAAATAATGATCTATTTCTGAGAGGTTCAGGTCAGGCTAGTAGACTGGCAGAAAAACACTAGAAGGTTCCTTCTTTACCTTCTCATTTTCAAAACTTGAAAAATAAAATATCCTTCAGATACTGTTTTGGTAAAAATGTTAAACTCATCAAGTCACATTGTACTCACCTCTGATCTAAGTTATTTGCAAAAAACTGTTTTTTACTTAGCATATTTCACTATTAAGAAGTATCAGCATTTTGAGTAGAATAATCATTAACATTCCCAGGAAACGAGGTTTATTTCACTTTTAAAATGCCAGCAGCCACCTACCAGCTTATTTTCCCTGAATGGAATTATTATTACATAATCTAATATTTAAAAGCTAATGCCAAATTGTCAAGAGGTAACTGACATTCTTGGCAAAATGTGTCTATCGGGATTTTAGAAATGATTTTCATATAGGTTTACGAGTTTCCAGAAAGGGAGCCAATGGCTAAAATTGTGCTACAGGATTGATGCTATAAGTCAAGAAC